TCTCTCTCTCTCAAATAAATAAATAAATAAAAATCTTTAAAAAAAAAAAAAAAAGAAATTGTTTGAATGATTACTTTTAGTTTGGACTAGGTGACTTTCCAGAATTTCCAAATACCGTTCAAAAAAATATGTATGTTTAAAAAACGGATTATCATCCCTGGGTTCGAAGACATTGTTCTGCAAATATAACTGACGTAAGGTGAGGTTTTCGCCGAATGTTTTATATCCCTCATCTCTTGTGGCAATAAGGATTTCATTATAGTAATTGTCACAATCTGGTTATATCCATCATAATGTCCTTCATTACCCCCATCACATTCCCAGTCACTCATCAGTATAAATACTTATTTCCACAGCTTCCACAGCTTCCCATATCACTCTACAAACTGAATCTCCTTTCCCTCTCTTTGCCAACAGGCCTTGGGTGTTATGAAAGACACAACTAAAAGATACAAGATAAGTTACCACACTTAGTACACGGACATGCATATATGTTAAAATGCTCATGTGTAGAACTGATACTCATCCTAGCACATCAGCAGAAGGGAGAAATAGGAACCACCAGGACTGCGCTCCTCCATGGAGACAAAAACGGAACAACTTACCTTTCAGAGTGCTCCAGAAGCCAGTTAGGAGAACACAGCACCCCCAGGTAAGTACAAAGGAAGAGCCTCATCAAAGAGACAAGGAAAGCTTGTGATACTTGCCCACGATAGCCATTCACCCTCCTAGACACTCCATGGCAACACTGTGAGAAAACTCTCACCTCTCCTCAGGAAAGAAACAAATGAGTGACCTATATGTTCAATGATCTGGCTTCCTGGCTGCTGCCTGAGGGACTTGTTTCTGTCATGCATGACATGGGAGGCAGAGGAAATGAGAGCACCCTCTTGATGCAGTGTGGTGGCTGCTCAGACCAAAGGTGAGCATTTGTTCAACCAATGGAGAGAACACAGAGCTGAAGACAAACAGAGAGGAAGCGATCACAGACATAAAGTAGTAACTACAGTTTTAAACCTGGGAAATTACAAAAATTCAGAAATGATAGATGTCCAGAACATGTGTGAGAGGTCCCAGAATTACTATTATTTGTGTTCCTCCCTACAAAGCAAGTCCATAATCTTGGGCTCAGAGGATGCTTTTTTAAAATCCACATATGTCAACAAAATATAATAAAGCATAGGGCGCCTGGGTGGCTCAGTCGTTAAGCGTCTGCCTTAGGCTCAGGTCATGATCCCCGGGGTCCTGGGATCGAGGCCCCATCGGGCTCCCTGCTCAGTGAGAAGCCTACTTCTCCCTCTCCCACTCCCCCTGCTTGTGTTCCCTCTCTCGCTGTGTCTCTCTCTGTCAAATAAATAAATAAAAAACCTTAAAATATATATATATATATAATATAGCATACAAAGAAACAGAAAAATGTGTTCCAAACAGAGGAATGAAATAAATCTCCAAAGCTGGCCTTAAATTAATAAAGAACCATTATTAGTGGCCTAACAAAGAATTCATATAACCATCATAAAGATGTTCACGGAGGAAGAAAACAGATAGTTAACTAAATGATATCAGGGAAACTATGCATGACCAAAATGAAAATCCAAACAGACAGAAAGTATAACAACAATGAACCAGAAATAGGGAGCTGAGGAGAATAGTCACTGAATTTAAAAATACACCAAGGGGTCAGCCATAGACCTGATTAATCAGAAGAAAGAATCAGACATCTTAAAGACACCTTATTTTAAACTCTCTACTGAAAGGATCAAAGAAAAATGTGGAAAAGGACAGAGTCTAAGGGACTCATGGGAGACCAACAAGTGGACCAATATGTACATTAAGGGGACCCCATAAGGAGAGGAGAGTGAAGGGGGCAGAGAGTTTACCTGAAAAACTAAAGGCTTGTACGTCCCATGTATGTGGGAAGAGACTAATTGAACAAGCTCAGTAAATTCAAAATAGGATAAATCTCAAGACATGAACACAGTGACACATCATAATTAACTCATCACAAATCACAGGTGAAAAGAGAATTTTGAAACATCCTGACAAAACCAAGCATCTTGTACAAGAGAGCTTCATACGATTAGTAGTGGGATTCTCAGCAGACCTGACAAGAAGAACTACATGGGAAAATATATTCACATACTGAAAGATCAAAAAAGAGCCACCAAGAATACTTTACCTGGCAACACAGTTTTCCATGAATGTAGAAGTGAAGACTTTCCCAAGTAAAAACCCCCCTAAGTTTACCAGTAGACCTGTCCTACGAGAAACGTTAAAGGAAGTCTTTCCAGGTGAAATAAAATGATTTTGAACAGTAACTGAAACCACAGGACAACATAAAGCTCTCAGCTAAATGTAAATATCTACACAATTACAGAATCCTGTAGTGTTGTAATGAGGTAGCACACGTCACTTTTATTTCTGCAATAGAATTTTTTTTATATAAAAGCATAAAATCATAAACCTAGGTAACAAAGTACACCACATAAAAGATAGAATTTGTGATATTGGTAACAAAGTGGGTGCAGGGGTGGAGATGATAAGTAGAAGAGTTTTGTATGCAAATGACAAGAGCACTTAAAAACGGTTTGTTATACCTTTAAAATGTTTTAAGTAATCTCTAATGTAACTATTATGAAAGTAAGTACAGAGAAGACACAAAAGTTGGTGAGGATGGTATCAAAGCATATCATGGGTTAACACCACAATTAAGGATATAATGCAATACCAAAATTTGATTCAGAGGTATAAAATGTTTAAAAATTACACTGAATTCACAAGAAGTGTTTCTCTCATGCAAAGGGAATATAAATTCACCAACAGCTGATGAAATTAATTCTATTATTGTAACAACTCACCTAGACATGATACAACACTCACTGAACACTAACCAATAAAACAAATTCACAAGATGAGTCATAATCACAGTATGCATGGGTGGTATTTATACAGACAAATACATACATAATTTTATTGATAAAGGGCATAAAGCTGATTCATATGTGAGATAAACTCACACTGTCTTGAAATCTACTGAGTTGAAAATTGTCATCCTATAATAAAATACACAGGCAACAACAATATCACAACTAAATAATGTTGTGGAGGGTCCCATACAAAAGTAAGCACATTATTACGGAATTGCAAAAGCAGAAGAAGACAAAATTTAACCCAAGTAAGTCTACATAAAAATACATGAATTTCTGAAAGGAAACCTTCTGTATAAGCGTAATTTTAACCTGTGACTATGTACCCATGAAAAACAAGTATTTTGAATTACTGTCATGCCTAAATTGACAGTAAAATTATAAAGAATATTCATTAAAATCAACCATGAATAGCTCTAATAGAAAATCTTATGAATGAGCACTTAAAAGACATTAAAAAATGTATCATGTTATTAACATGTCCCTTCTCTTACACAAAATGCAAGGCTATAATCCATTCTTTAGAAACAAGCAGGCTGGGGTGCTGGGTGACTCAGTAGGTTAACATCCAACTCTTGATTTCACCTCAGGTCACAATCTCAGGGTTGTGGGATTGAGCCCCTAAGGGCATCTGTTTAGGATTCTCTCCCTCTACCCCTCCCCATACTAGTGCTGGCTCGTTCTCTCTCTGTCTCTCATAAATAAATAAATTTTTAAAAAGAACCAAGCACCCGAAGAAATACCCTTCATTTTGAAATATAGAGTATCAAAATTGTAAAATATGCCAGCAATCACTTTGTAAAAAATAAATACTGGGAATTAAGTTCGGATACATTCTGAGGAAGAAAAGCCTAACAGTAAATTTCTCCTAAAGTAAAATAAAATTTATAAACAAAACTTTTTTTTAAAATATGGGGATTTGGGGCGCCTGGGTGGTTCAGTTGGTTAAGCGACTGCCTTCAGCTCAGGTCATGATCCTGGAGTCCTGGGATCGAGTCCCGCATCGGGCTCCCTGCTCAGCGGGGAGTCTGCTTCTCCCTCTGACCCTCCCCCCTCTCATGTGCTTTCTCTCATTTTCTCTCTCTCAAATAAATAAATAAAATCTTTTAAAAAAATAAATAAATAAAATATGGGGATTTTACTAATTATCCACCTCACTTCTTAGCAGCATACGCCCATGTCATATCCCAACTATTCATATAAAAAAATTAGAGATGAATCTGACATATAACTAATAAAGTGAAAACACATGACAAAAATCACAACTTCATATCATACAAAATTATAAAATGATGGAATTATTAATAAAATAACAATTGAGACTTTATTATAGGCTGCAAGTTCTAAGTTCTAAATGTTCTAGCTCCCTTATGGCATTAATTTATAATTTATGTAGGAATTCTAGGACACAAAAAGATACATTATTTCACCACTGAGGAATGCAACACAGAGTGGAACTTTCTAATATTAGTCAATACAAAGAAAAATGAACCTTTGAAGGGAAATAAGGGATTAGATTTTCTCATTTTAGGGAGGTGCTTTATTATCTAATGAGATTACTGAGTCTCAATTTTGTTCAATTAAAATTAAAGCCTCCATGACATTGGAAAGCATAAACCAGAAAACACCAGATATCTATCAACAGTGTTCCCATGATGTCTGCACCAAACCCCAGTATTCCACTGCTATCATGACACACTTCTCATACAAGGCAAAACAGAACTTAGAAAAGGCTTAGCATAGAGTTCCTCAGAAATAGGGAGATTTCCCAGGGCCCTCACGGCAATGGAGAAGCTCTCAGACTATGGAAGCCCCCACTCCCAGGGTAGTTGCCTGGCCCTCCCTGTGGATGTGATGGACCATCACTGGAGCTGGAGGAGAATCTTTAGAGAATGTAAGAGCTTGATAATGTTGGATAGCTGATGTCCCTCTGTGAGAGGGAGAGAAATAAAACTAGGCTTCTCAAACTAATTTCCATTCAAGGAGAGCTACTTAAAACACACTTTAAGGTCAATCTTCCTGCTTCACATTTGGACCTCACCTCTGTCATCCGCTTCATTCAGTCTCACCTACCTGGGTGGAAGGCTACTCTCTTCTTTCTCTTCATATCCCAGAGCTCCTTCTCTTGCTCCAAAAAGAGGACCAGGTTTGGCTTCCACACAACGAGATCTGTTTAATAGAAAAAAGTATTGCTGGAGATTCTAACTTTCAATCCAAAATTGTGCTCAGCAGAGAAGAGAGGACATTGTAGAATTCTAGAAAATTATTTCCCAAGTGCTGTTAACCAACGATCCCTTTAGAACACACAGTAGGGGTTTTGAATATTCACATTATGACCTCCACTTCCAAGTACTATTGATACAATAACAAAGAGTAATAATTGGAGTTTAGGATGTAGGCAGTACCATTTTATGTCACTGAATATGTAGAATTACCACAAATCTACAGAACTGATGATATTACCCTAAGGAAAGGGGAAGCTAAAGCTGAAAAGGAAATATCATGAAAATTTTTCTCTACAAACCCCTACTGATTTCCCTTATTGCCTGGATCTGAATTCCAGTCGTGCAAAGACTCTTTGAAGAGATGGTTTTCAAAGGAAGGAACAAATCCGAGTGTGGTTTGGAAATATGGAAAAAGCCATCCTCACCTAGGAAGAGGAGGTGTCCGTAGTTCTCTAACATCACATCCCTGTACAACTGCCTCTGAGTATGTATGGTTCAGGCATCCCCACTCCTCCTGAGAGTTTCATGGCCACATCGCTGAATGTCAGCATTGGTGAGCACAGAGGCCGACGCAGGGCTCAAGCCCATGACCCATGAGATCATGAAGTGAGCCAAAATCATGAGTCAGACACTTCAGCTACTAAGCCACTCAGGTGGCCCTCTTAATTAGATTCATATTCTGATTTACTCTAGGGCAGCAACAAGAACACAGAAGTTATGCTGTGTCCTTCAGTGTGCCTCAGGCACTGATATCAATTTGCTTATTATTACAGCTGGTGGTAACTTCTTTTACTTGGCTTGGTGCTCTCTGTCAGATTCCTCCTATATAACGTGAATTTATCTCTTAATCATTCATAATGATTGGATGGCTTTACTGAAAGGTGTGCAGAATCCATCACATTCAAACTAGAAACTCCTTTCTTCTGAGTTTCTCTTTGCTTGTAGTTTCCAATGGAAAATGAAAGCTCTCTCTTTTGTGCACTTAAGATTCTGACCTGTGGGAGTGTTGGTTGTAAGTCAATGAGGCCTCCAACTTGTAAGATTTCATTGTATTTCACACTCACATCACAGACACATTCTTTTGTTTACTTATTTGTATTTTCCAGAAAACATGAATCATATAGTTAACATACTGAAGTGTCTCTGTGTCCAAAGCTGTGACTTTTCATATGGGTACATAAACTGATTTTATTTCACTTGGCACAGAGTACAACACAGAATGGCAGACACCATCAAAGCACCATTTGTTGTCACGAGTGAACACTGTGGTAGCAGAGACTGTACATCTAAAGACGGACATTAGGGAGAGCAATATATCATGGACTCGTAAGAAACAGAGAAATTTTTGTTACTGAGAAGTTACATGCCCAGAGAATATACCTGACCAAATGGGTTTGACAAGTTGCAAATTTTCTGCATCCTATGACTGTTATTGGTGTTCTCCTGAAAAAAGCAAGTCCATAAAGACTAGGAGACCTAGGCTGTTTAAATTCCCAAATCTCAAAAGATCAAAAATCATACAAAGAAGAAAAACAAGGCACGCTGAAAGAAACGAAATACATCTGCAGAAATTGGCTGTAGGTAATGGACACCTATATTACCTGATACACAATTAAAATAACCATCTAAATGATGATTAAATAGCTAAAAGAGTTAAACAAAATATTCAAACTATGTTAGAACAAAATCAAAATATCAATGAGACAGAAAGTACAATCAAGGAACAAACAAAAAATGAGAGCTGACAGTAGTACAACAACTACACCTGAAACTTAACTAGCGCTTAATGACGACTTGATCAAGCAAAAGAAAGAAAAAGCCTGAAGATAATTCACTAAAATTATGAAGTTACAGGGAGCACAAAATAAAAATGTAGACAAGGGACAAATGCCTGAGGGACTCACTGGACACCATCAAGGAGACCAATATACACATCAAGGGGACCCAATGAGGTAAAGAGAAAGAAAAGGGGGCAGAGAGCTTAAAAGAAGACTTAATGGCTTATATGTCCCTCATCTGAGGAAAGAAACAGGCCTAAAATATCAAGCAGCACAATGAATTCCAAATAAAATAAATTGAAAGATATCCACACAGATACACAATATATCAAACTATCAAGAATCACAAACAAAAAGAAATTTAAAAGGAACAAGAATAAGCACCTCAGGACGTACAACAGAGCTTCTACGCATTATCAGTAGATTTCTCAGCAACAGCCTCATATAAAGAAAACAGTATACAATCTATTAATAGTCATGAATGAAGCAAATTACCAAGAATACTCCGTCAAGATGAAGGACAAGTAAAAAATTTCCCAGAGAACTACTTGTTACAATTTCAGCACCATTAGACTAGCCCTACAGAAAATGCTAAGATATCGTACATACAGAGAATTTTCTAACACTGTCATACTGTAGCACAAATCACTTTATTACACAAAAAAGAATCAGAAAAAGAAGGATGTCGGGGCGCCTGGGTGGCTCAGTCATTAAGCGTCTGCCTTCGGCTCAGGTCATGATCTCAGGGTCCTGGGATCGAGTCCCGCATCGGGCTCCCTGCTCTGCGGGGAGCCTGCTTCTCCCTCTCCCACTCCCCCTGCTTGTGTTCCCCCTCTCGCTGTATCTCTCTCTGTCAAATAAATAAATAAAATCTTTAAAAAAAAAAGAAAAAGAAGGATGTCTAGCCCAAGAATTAGCAGAGGGGAGGAAATTTTAACATGTAACATAAATCAACAAAATAAGATATAGCAAGGGGCACCTCAGTAGCTCAGTCAGTTGAGCGTCCAACGCTTGATTCCGGCTCCTGTCACAATTTCAGGGTCGTGGGATTGAGCCCCACAAAAGGCTCTGTGCTCAGTGTGGAAGTCTGCTTCGGGTTCTCTCTCTCCCTCTCCCTCTGTCCCGCCCCCTGTTTTCGGTCTCTAAATAAATAAATAAGTAAATAAACTATTTTAAGAAATAGGATATGGAAAAAATAAAAAGCCATCAATAAAACAAAGAGTTGGTTTTCTGAAAAGATCCAGAAAAATGACACACCCTTTACTAAAAATAGTAAAAATAACAGAAGACTCAAGTAAAACCACATTAAAACGGATGCCAGGGGCGCCTGGGTGGCTCAGTTGTTTGGAGACTGCCTTCGGCTCAGGTCATGATCCTGGAGTCCCGGGATCAAGTCCTGCATCGGGCTCCCTGCTCAGCGGGGAGTCTGCTTCTCCCTCTGACCCTCCCCCCTCTCATGTGCTCTCTTTCATTCTCTCTCAAAAAAATAAAATCTAAATAAATAAATAAATAAATGAAACTGATGCTGGGACATCTGGGTGGCTCAGTTGGTTAAGCGTCTGCCTTCAGCTCAGGTCATGATCTCAGGTTCCTGGGATGGAGCCTCATAGCAGGCTCCCTGCTCAGCAGGGAGTCTGCTTCTCCTCTGCCTGCCACTCCCCCTGCTTCTGCTCTCTCTCTGGCAAATAAATAACTAAAATCTAAAAAACAAAACAAAACAAAAAACTGATGCCATAGAAATAATAATTGTAAGAGGCTATAAAGAAAAATTATATGCCAACAAATGGATACCAAAAACCATGTGTATAAATTTCATAAAAGATACAATCTGTTAGGGCACCTGGGTGGCTCAGATGGTTAAGCATCTGCCTTGGGCTCAGGTCGTGATCTCCAGGTCCTGGGACACAGCCCTTTGTCAGGCTCCCGGCTCAGCGGGGAGTCTGTTTCTCCCTCTCCTTCTGCCTCTCGCCCTGCTTGTGCTCTGTCACTCTCTCAAATAAATCAATCTTAAAAAAAAAAAAAAAAAAGATCCAATCTGTACTCTATCATGACCAAAAAAAAAAAAACAAAATGAGAAAACACCTCACAACAGACCAACAACTACTAAATAGAAAAAAGTAACCAAAAACTATGAAATAGTCTAACCCAGATGAATTTTTGGCTAATTCAAGGAAACATTCAATGAAAACTTACATCAAACTTCAAACACTACCAACGTATGAAGAGAAGAGAAATTATCAGATCCCTTTCTATGACACCAGCCTTATCCAGATATCAAAGCCAAAGACACTACAGGTAAAGAAGAATACAGACTACTACCCAAGATGAATATTCGTGCAAAAGTCCACAATAAAATACAGCAAACTGAGAGGCGCCTGGGTGGCTCAGTTGGTTAAGCATCGGACTCTTGGTTTCCACTTAAGTCATTATCTCAGGGTCATGATATCCAGCTCCTTTGGACTTAGCGCTCAGCAGGGAGCCTGCTTGGGATTCTCTCTCCCTCTCCTTCTGCCCCTTCCCACTGCTTGTTCTATAAATACATACATACATACATAAGACTTTTAATAAAATATAAAATAAAATACAAGGAGCTGATGGCAAAAGCACATTTTAACATTCTAAAGCATGAACAAGTGGGAATACTTCCTCAAATTCAAGAGTTTCAACATACTAAAAACAATATGTAAGACATCCCGTTAACAGAATAAAGGTCAAAAATAACATCACTTGAACTGATGTGGAAAAAGAATTTGACCATATTCAACACTGTTTCATGATAAAGACACTCAACAAAATAGAAAGAGAAGGTAAGCACCTCAATGTAGTAAAGGCCATATATGAAAATCTTAAAGGTAACATCATACTCTAGTTAAAGACTGAAAGCTTTTCTTCCATGATCAGGTAGAAGAGAATGAAGCAAATTCAACACTTCCATTCAACATACTACTTGATATTTCACTTAGAACAATTAGATGGCAAAAATAAATAAAAGGCATCCAAATTGGAAAAGAAAAAGTAAAATTATTTCTGTTCACAGATGATATACTCTTATATATAGAAAAGCCAAAAAGAATCCACATTTTAAAAACTTTTTTAGGGGTGCCCAGGTGGGTCAGTTGGTTAAGCAGCTGCTTTCAGCTCAGGTCATGATCCCAGGCTCCTAGGA